AGATATCCAAAGGTCCGCTTTCGGCTCTCCTGGAACTGAGGCCGGACTTGGGCTTGGTTCTATAAGTTGAAGCGTGGCCCAGTTTGGGCCTGGATTGCAAAGAACGTTATCCACAGTCTCAAAAATTCCAAATTTAAAAGCTGAATTTATAATCGTAACAAATGTCACACTTGCTTGCCTTTTTCCTTACGTTTATAATTATCATAAAACGACAAAGTAACCTTTTTGGATATCACTCATACGCGTGGATGACGAATGTGATGAGCCCTACTCCTTTTTAATGCTTGAATTCGTCGCCGGTCCCCACAGCATTTAGTACTGGTCCTTGTCGTATATGTACTAGTGTTCGTGTAGTGTATTTATTTTCAAATTTAATAATTAAAGAAAGCATGCTGCTTGCTTTTGTTCGGTTCATTCAATTAATGTTTTTGTTAATGTACTGTCTAAGGTAGTATAATTCAATAACTTTGTCTCTTTATGGCATTAATTTATATAGTAATGTTAAAGACAATATTGTAATTTATCAGAAAATGTTAAAAACAATATTGTATTCAAATAAATATGCTTTTAAGACCATCATTCATGTTTCATGTTAGGAAATTACAATATTGTTAATCGCATTGACAATCATCACATGACATGGCTGTCAGTTAACAAGTGTTTACTTTGTACTAACTAATAACTCTCTGAAAAATACACATGTGGAGGTTTTAAAGTTAAAGCAAAGGAAGCGCAGATTGAGTAACATACAAGGCAAGAATGACTAACGACTTGCCACAGCCCCTGTCACCTCCACCTACACCTAAACCGAGTTGCTCATTCAGAGCCAACCTTTCCTCTTGATCAATAAAGCCAACGCAACATTTCTCATTCATTGCTAAAAGTCTAACCAAACTTTTCAATAAATTTTCTATATTTAAAATTTATAATTAAAAAATGAAATAAATTATTAATATTTTAAAATGACGGCAATTGCTTACCTCAAATATCCAGACTGAACAAATCTCCAGACCACGGGACACGAGAATCGAGAATAAAAAAAATCAAAGAAAAGAAAACCAGACGCGTTCCTAATTAGGAAAGAGAGAAAGGGCCCAACCCCAACTCAAACTTTTACAATTTATTTGAGTATAATATGAAAATCCCCCACTTCTGCACCAATGACAACTCTTGTTATCTTTGTTTTACAACAAAAAAAA